TGCCGGTGAAAGACGTCGAACGCTCGCGTTGCTCGAATGATTATTGCCGGCACGATCCCGTAGGTAAACGCGCCGAACGGCAAGATTCATCCGAGCGTAACGTTGCTTTGTTGAAATCCTGTATTTTGTAACACGTTCTGCACCGCGTGACTGTCGCTTGGCTTGCGACGAACTTTCAAATCTAATATTGGATTGTTCGGAAAGTAACTTCGTTTTTTCGCCAACCGACATCGCCAGGTTCTTAATCAGCCAGCTTCATTCTGAGCCGTATCGTCGTTAATTAGACCCGCGGATCTTTATGGAAAATAAAAATCGTCTGAATTAATTGCAAGAAATATAAATCCGGTGTTTCTTCTTTCAATAATTCGAATTAGTTGTACATCACGTAAAAATATACTGTAATTCCTATAATGTCCGTACAGCTTTGTATTCGACCTGGTCATTTCTTTTTTCATAAATGCAGAAAATCTGCAGTCTAGTTATTGTATGTTTTGACAATTCACATTTCAAGGCTTACTTGTAAACAATTTTGTTTGATTCTTTAGACGACCCGTCAAATATGGAAACAAAAGCAGTATTTCCGGTATATATATTTTTTATTATCGAAAAGGTAAGAATGTTGTTAAAGTAAGAAAAATATTGTGTTACGGAAAAGATGTGTTGACAGAACGCCAGTGCCAAAAGGTTTAAAATTCGGTTTAAAAGTGTCTTCGTTCCTTTTTCAATGGAAAATAAAAGGCGATCGTTTAATATTCAATCTTTATATCATATAAATTATATAAAAAGTATGTATTATAAATTTTATTCAATATGTACTGGCCACTTTGTGAATTTATTTGACAAAATATTGAATCAAGTGTTTGTTTGAAAAACGAAAATACTTTCCGAACAACCGGATATACTCGAGTCGCATAAAACGATTTTTGTGATAATTGTGCGAGACACGGTATCTCGACAAATGATTAAAACATGCTTGTTTTATTGGCTATTGTCTGCATTGAATGGACGAAAGCTGATAAATTTATAAGGAAGGTGTAGCACGATCGATCATCGTAAACTGTGTATTCTTAATGGAGAATGAAGTCGCATGCATGATGATGTTCGAGGAAACTTGTTTAAATAGCACGAGAAAGAATTTCAATCACATTTTGCGATATGTTACTTACTACTTGTTAATCGATTAATTATCATTAAGAAAAATTTCGAGACAATTGACACTTATTATTCAAAATTAAAATTTTCTACCTGATTAACTTCTGCGTTCGACAGAAACAATGAAAAAGAATTTTATTGTTCTAAATCTAATGGTTCAGTTTAAGGGTTGTTTTTACCCCTCGTGTTTTACGGCCGATAGGAAAAGTATACGTCGAAGATTCTTTTAAAAACTAGCTTTCGGATATGTTTCGTTAAAACTGTTTTGTGTTCCGTGGTCGTATTCGAGAAACGTGTTCGAACTGTTTCGCATTAAGCATCGGGTCATAATTCTACCCTTGCAAAAATCATGCTGTCATCATCCAGTGTTCATTACGCGGATGTCTCGGTCACGATGGGCATATAAATTATATTCGTTCGTATGTAAAGCGAGAACGTAATTAAGAAAGAGCGAACAATATTTGCAGATGAGCTTCGAAGACGTATTAGCGCGGGCAATTGAGATTTTCATTACAAACGAGACACCTTGTATATTACACTCACGACATCCGGAAAGAACAGCTATGCAAATGTTATAGCGGCCAGTTGGGCGCTGAAATTTACATTGAAATGAAATCAAACAAAATGTGCGCAAAAATAACGCGAAATAGTAATCGATAGCGTCGTATATCGAATAGTAATTCACGCATTTTGTTATTCAAATAGGGAGTACACCGTAGATCTGCAACAGTGTCGACAGAATAAAGTTGGGCATTATTCGAATCGTTTCGAATAAACATTCATCGAAAATAATTATTCAACGATTATTCATTATTCGTAACTAATTATTCTATATATTAATTTGAATAACTTTTCATTCTTTCTTCGAATAAATTATTCGAACAGAAATTGTAATATTATTCGAATGATAATGCCAGTTATTGTTGACCGTTTTTTGCGTAAATTTTTAAGCAAACATGTGTTACAAATATGAAATCTGTAATGTAAGATAACTTCCTTTGCACCCGTGAAAATATTATTTAATTGCACACAAAAAGATAATTGTAAAAATTAATATAAGAAAGAAATTAACCAATAAATGAAAAAGAAACACTATACAATAGTAGAATTTGTATCCAAAAATCGAATATTTTTCGAATTAATTCCTGTACAAATAAATTCTTATTCGAATGATTTTTCATTCGAATAAAATTTGATTCGTTAATCCTGATCTCTTATCCGTCATCCGAATAAAACTTGGCCCAGCTCCGCGACAGGATAATTCCCGGAACTCTCGACGTTTTTGCGTCGAATCGATAAAACTCGGAGAAACTAGCGTATTTCAAAAATCAACGATGAAAAGAGTGCGTTCAGTCGGATCGATCGAATGGCCGTTTCGTTAAAGCGAGCACGCGTGCCTCCGTCACGCGGTTATTAACAACAAATACTGCGTCGCGCGAAATTAATCTCCCGTTTGTTCCGCCGTCTTTCATTTCGGATGATTCAATGCAATCCGAGTTCATCCGATTTCCTTTGAAACGGAAGAGCCTTCTTGTGCTCTGCGACCGATGACGGCGAACGCTTCGCCGAGACGAGAGGATCGTGTTTACGAGTATTTCAGCAAATCTAATTAGCGATCAGCTTTTAGGAGCGAATATTTCCAGCAAGATGGCGTACAGTGTCGGAGGACAAAGGATAAACATGATCGAAACGTCGCAAGTTCCTTCGACCCGAACGTCGAATTTACGAAAGTTGGTGCATCGATTGGAAAGTTCTTGATTCCGTGAGACACAGAGCATCGGTGTAAGAGATTCTTCAGCTCTAGAAGCATCTTTTAGCCGAAATAACCGGTTCGCGGTTTCTTCGAAAAGTCACCTGCTGCTGTTCCAAGTTCGCGAACTTATTCGCTCGGCGTTAAAGTATTATGAAAAAATCCGCGACAAGTTATTTCGACCTATCCGGCGATCGTAGTCATGAAACGAGCAGGGGAGAATTACCATGAATGGGACACTACCATTATCTAAAAACTTGTGAATCTTGAAGCTGCCCTAAACTTCTCTTCGTCATTATGTCACTAATTTTTAAGATTCCTTTATTTCACAAATTTTGTCTGAATTTTTGTCAATTTCTCCTTGCGTTGAAAGGATTATACTTTTTGTCATAAAATACTAGAACGTGATATTAATCCAAAGATGCGAAGAAGATTCATGTGATTAGCATATAATACGATATGTTCTTAAAATGAATAAAAAAGAACAGTACTTGCAAGATCAATACTAATATTGATTAGTTCGTTACATTCGATGCGATCAATCGATGAATGGAACGAAACGCATCGTTTAAAAAAGAAGTCGAAAATAAAGCAAGTAAACCTAGGAGAAATTCATTGACAGTGTGTGCGTTCTTATAGTAAAAGAGCTGATCTTTCGAATGTTGTAAACTAGAATCAGGTAGGTCGTTTAGTTCCTCTTTGTTATTCGGTTCTAAATAAAGGTGTTCCGTTCGTGGCAGTGCTCCCTTATGCGTTATGCCCGAGAGCCCGAGTCGATCATCGAACGATAAACAGTCGTGCAACATTGTTCCGTTGGCGTTGTGAAAGCGAGACGATAATCCGCGTGTCCAGTCGTGAACTGCTTCTGCGAGTGTCGCGTAATTCGCGTTAAGATTCGTTTATGTTTATATGTATACGTACGGTGTGTTCGAGTTAGCTGCGCGTCCTTTCTATTCTTTGGACTCTAAGAATCAAGGTGTCTGATCTACGCTCGTCGAGTGATAACAAGTACAATTGCTACGCCACAAATCCAACTAATTTCAAAGTCCTTCGGAGATCGTGGATCGCTGTCGACGGCATTAACACGTTCGCGATTCCGTACTGGCAATTCTCGTGTTTGGCGAACGCGACGCGGGCTTCGTCGACGACAGAGAATCAGTGTCGGCGTTTCTGCTCGCGATAGAAGCCACGCCGATTCCTGCATTTATAACACGATCATTTCGTATCCTTGTTTCGTATTATATGCGCACGGGCGATGGCGTCACGAAATTGTTTCGTTTTGTGCAGGTTTCGTATTATTTAAAGCGATCCGCATTCTATCGAACTTATATTATGAAAATGCTTAACCGTATTATGAATAACGATTCTCGATCGTTTCAAAATTTTGAACACGCGTTCAACTAGGTTTCGCGATCTTCGGAATGTTCTGACATTTTATCGTGTTGCAGGTGTCAGACATGTTTCGAAGACAATTGAGATAAGCAATGTCACAATTAATCGTTGCAGCAGCCAACAAATTGAACGTGAAACAATATTACAGGCATCCGCGATATTCCATGCTTCTCTATTACAAACAACTATTAGATGTCCTGTGCACCTCACAGTAAAACTATAACAATAGAAGTAACTAACTAAAACTCGTTTTATACAGTATGTACATTTAAGGTAACCGAGAAAGCTAATATTATGCTAACATAGTTTGCACGATTTTTCAGTCAGACTTCGTTCGTCGCCATTTATTCGGGAACAATAAATTAATTAAAACGATCTAAAGTTAAACGAAGTGAAACTATTGCACAATTTCGCCTGAAATCGAGACTAACAAATTAATACTAGAAATTACGATCGGCCGTTAATCTGGACGATTAGAATTACTAACGCGAACCCGATCGGGGCTCGATTATCGTTCAAAGCACAACAATTATGTTCTACATCGTTCAAGGTATTACTTTCAAGTTCAATTTGATGTACCATTGTCAAACGTATTCAATTTACACACAAACGTGTCGATGTTTTAATTAGGGTAAACGAATACATACGGTCTTTTAAATTACGAATCACCTGAACATTTAAAACACTTCAGATACACCAAGTTTACCACTTGCTATACTGTTAAGTAAAATTTTGTTCTCTTGCCCTCGATATTTAACACGTTGAATAGCGAATATCAAACCCAAAAATTCATACAGTATCAAAGTCCATGTTATTTGCAAAACTAATAACGTCCGACTGGCGAAGGAGCAAACAAAAATGATTTGTTATTTGTCTTTCTCTAAAATCCAAAACAAAAGGTACCGTTTCGTTTGCAAATAAGAGATAATGAATGAACTATTCGAGAATCTATTTGATTAATTTTTTAATTAAATTGAAGATTTTAGGTTTGAAATAAAATTTGCCCAACTCTGACCGTAGATTAAACAAACATGCTCGATGAAATTCGACTGAAAATAATTTCGAGTGCAACGAGCTAATCGTTGTAGCTGTAGAGAAAAGTATGGCAAGGGTTCAACAGAACGCATGTTCAATCAGTTCGATAAGTATGAATGGAAACAAAAAAGATGAAGGAAATCAAAGTTTTTCCAAGGACCGAACCCGTCAAATGGAATTTCTCGCAACGAAATTTCCATCGACGAAATTTCCGGCAATGAAATTTCCATCAATGAAATTTTCAGTAACGAAATTTCCATTGACGAAATGTTCGATAACGAGATTTCCGTCAATGAAATTTCCAGCGATCGCTGTGAATGAATACAAACCTGCGCAAACTGCAGCGTGCGGTCGCGGCGAATTGCGACGCATGCAAAACCGCGAAAGTGTTAATCCGTCGGAATCCGTTGGCAATCGGGTTCTCCGAAAACAGAGAAAAGAATACTGATCCGCCCTTAACCTATGTTATCGGTCGCGGGACGCCGGTGCAACTCGTGCACCGATAATGAACGGTGCCCGCGGAGAGGCGCATCCTGCGGGAAGCGTAACGTGACCGGTTGCATCGTCCTCGTCCTCTCTGGATCCTCGAGAGCAGCTCGCGTTTCGATAATCTGCGATCGAAAAGTTCCCGCGTCGGCTCGCGACCCTCCTAAACGGTCGGTAGAGAAAGAGAGACAGAGAGAAAGAGAGAATGGAAGAGAGAAAGAGAGAGAGAGAGAGAGATCTACGACTTATCTGGCGGCAAAGAGGATCGAGAGCGATCTCGATCGATCGCGCGCTACGACAACGCCAGGGAGCGATGCGTCTGCCCGTTGTACGATAAGGACTCCGATTCTGTGTCCTCGAATCTCGCGTCCTCGTCCGCCAGATCGACGCCATAGTTGCTCGAGGTGTTGTCCTCTTCTGCAACAAACGTGGTAGCAAAGGATGATTAATCGACGGTTGCGTAATAATGTACGATGATTTGGTCGACGGATCATTCGTTCCCGTCTCGCTTTTGCGCGGAGGGAAGATTCTTTCTCATGTCGAAAAAATACGTTGTTTTCAGGGCTGTGCAAAATTTTATTCGGTAATTGATAGATGGTGATAAATACAATTTGATTGGACAGTGTCGAATGAATATCGAATCGAATAAAAATTCATCTAGGCAACAATTTATCCGAATGAGATTTTATTCACGTAATTCGCGAGGAAAATAATCGGTTTGAATAAAAGTTATAGAATATGAAGTGTTTTCTTTATAGTTTATCGATTCATTTATTTTATATTCGTTCCTTCAATATTCCATATTCCTTTTTACTTGCGGGTATTATAAAATTACGTAAAAACGAAAATAGTCAACAATTATTCGCATTATTGTTCGAATAATTTTACAAGCTCTATTCGAATAATTTTATAATTTCTATTCGAATGAAGAGAATTCTATCCACTTATTCTCGAATAAAGCATCATTTGATAAATTATTCGAATAATTCTCGGTTCGAATAGAGATTGCAAAATAATGCGAATATATATAATATAAACAGGAATATGACACAAAGAGCACTGAAAAGAAGGAATAACAAAGAAATAAATCGATAAACTATAAAAAAAGAACGCTTTGTATTCCATCATTTTTTAAGTAGATTTAAAGTAGAAAGTTCTCGAAAAGATTAAAATCGCAATTTGTATCAAACGAATTGAATCCTCTTAAAGTAAAATATTATCACAAAAATGTCACCGTTCAGTGATAATTTCTACTGCATCAGAACTTTTATTATCAATGTCTTTTAACTCAGAAATAATCCAAAGCGTCGATTGAAATTATCTTAAAACAGTTTGAATGAAAACGATGTGCAGGAAGATCGAGCCAGTAATTTTCGGAGCTAAATGGGAGAAATGAAAAAATATGAAACAAGAAAAGTGTTTCTCGTTGGAACAGCGTTTACGGTTCGACCAGATTATCGGGCTATAAATTAAAAGAGTATTTATTTAGCTAGCTGCGATTGAAATAACGTTCGGAAATGTGTGTCGTAGCGTTCGATTTTCCCGTGACCGGTTCAGTGAAACGTAAAACGCAGGCACCGTTATCCTGCGTTTATGGTTTGCTGCGTAAAGACAATGCGAACCGTTGAAAAGCTTCTGCTCGGCAACGTATTACGATCCCTCTTATAATTTGCGTAACAGTGGAACCGTCATTGTATCGTTTTCTGATGTAATTACAATATACGCACGTTTCCAGCATGAAAGGATCTCGCGTTGTATCGTGCCCCATTATGACTCGGGAAAAAGGTACGCGTTCCCGGTATTGTCGGCCGCGAACACGGCCACTCGGAACGTTCATTTATGCGGAATAATAATGAACATTTGCATAAATCCTGTAATATATGTAAAGCGGCCGGTAACGCGCATCTCCCGAGGCATCAACTAAATTGCTTGATTTAATATTATTAATCGAACAATTTATTCGATCGTAATAAGAAGTCCATTGGACGCCAGTTGCGCTATCGCTTCACGGGACGTCTGTCGAGCAGAAGTATTCGCTGTTTTCGTTAAATTGCGTTCGTATTTTAAACATAACAGACTGCACCCGACGTAAAACGCCGCATTTGGCGGCGAAATTAATTTAGGACGCTATAAACCGATGCGTAAAAGCTCCGCGTCCCTGCCCCACATGCAACAGGTTCTACGTCTATAAGAACACGCGTGTATAGATAAAAGTGCATCCTGGCATACGAATCGAATCCGGACCACTCGGGAGCACATAAAATCGGCGCACGATGAATGTAATTGCTCGGCAGCGTAGTCATAAATAATTCGTGGTCTCCTCAATCGTTTCGGAAAAATGCTAATATTCTTCGCGGACACTGGAACGAAAGGCTTTCGGAAGATTTATTAAACGTTCCCCCGTGTAAAAGCAGATCATAAACATTAGTTGCACTTTTATTACGCGTCTCTCGATCTTTCGGTCCATTTGCATGTTCCAGAAAAATCTCGGAATTTCACTTTTAACCGAAGAGTGATTAAAATGAAAGATATGTTCCTTAGAAAACTAAATCATAAATAATAATAATAATGTGTTTGTACCTTCGGATGTGAGCTATAAATTATATAGTTCTGAAGTAGACATTTGTTCTCAAAGGGTTAAAAAGTACGCTTCACTTAAAAGCTTCGAATACGATCAAACTAATTTGCATCTGCTTACTACCTTATGTATATATCCTAAAAATGTCTCGCAATCTGTAAATGGGGCTTCCTGAGATTATTTGAAGTAACTTTTTCCTTAGCGAAAATGCAATCCGCGGCTTTGTTTACGAGTTATTAATGAAAAACAGCGACCAATGAGAGTCGAGCACAGCTGGCACGAGGCGGCCCAGCCAACGAGCGCACGAAGCTCAGTTCCGTTTATTGGCTCGGTCGTCTCGCGCCAGCCGAGCTCGCCTCCTATTGGTCAAAGCTTTTCGTTAGTAACTCGTAAACAAAGCCGCGGATTGCATTTTCGCTGAGTAAAAAGTTACTTCAAATAACCTCAGGAACTCCCATTTCCGGATTGCGAGACATTTCTGGGACAGCCTGTATACATCCTGTATACAAGATTGGCCGGAACTCATAGCACAAAAGTAAGAAAAATATTTGGTATAACATTTTTTTATCCAGGGCTCCGTTTTCGAGAAAATCGACTTTAACGTTTGCTCATCTTTGTAATGGACTTAGTTTCTGTCTATTCTTCTACCGCAGTTACCTCCGTCCGAGATAGTGTTTGCAAACATTAATTGTTGAGAACTATGCATAAGTAGTAAACGGAATGTTTCCATCATTGTCAATGTTTGTAAACACTATCTCGGACGGAGGTAACTGCGCTACATGGTAGCAACAGGCAGCGACTAGTAGCAGTTAATAGCAGTCACAGGGCGGAAGTGAGAGTAACGAACAGTTGCGCGGTTAGAGATTAGAGTAATAATTATATTGCGTAGTATTAAGAGTTTATTACAATAAATATATTTAATTCTAGCGAACGCTAAGTCTAGCGATTCATACACGGATGTCTCTACAGCATCATCCACAATTACGCAATAATTCTAAACATCTTGCATTCGTTTGTAAATCTACCAGCATAACTTGGATTAGGGAAGGAGTAGGTATCAATTCGTCTCTGGGAAATGCTTGCAAAGAGTTCAAGCAAGCCCGACGGGATACACGGCAATTTTATTGAAGAATTTTCCGGCGGAGACTATCGTCTGGTAGCAAGTAGCAGGAATCCGCCTCAAAGCGCCAAGAGCGATCCCGGCAAAGACTTCTGGGCTTAAAAAGCGTGAAAGATTTCAACAAAGTCTTTCCAGCTTAAAACGCGCAAGGGTTCAGCAAAGTCGAGTGCCGCCGTTCCCAATGGCCGTCGAAACGCGACAATGCGGAGTGGTCTAGAAAGCAGCGTTTCCTGACCAAAATACAATTTTTCAACCACGACGTTCAAGCAAAATTTCATTCCTTTAAGTGGCCGCCCTTTAACCCTCTTGCACCGTACAGGACATCGAAATAGTACTCGAACGAAGCACGTTTCGATTTAATTGTGCTCAAGTATTTCTCCACTGGTGTGCGCTGGAGAATTAGAAATAATCTAGAGAATCATAGAAGCGATACTTGAGTATATTATGCGATTATAAATGGGGCATCGGTGTATGCTATATATTTACAGAAGCAATACTGGTGTATACTAAATAATTATCAAAGTGATAATGACGTATGTTACAGAATTATAAATAGGACATTGGTGTATGCTATAAAATTATAAATGGGATACTGGTGTGTAATACATGATTATTAACCCTTTGCATACGAAGACATTTTAACTCTGAATTCAATATAGTTTTTCTGACTTACAGTATTTCCATTTTGTATGACTTAATATCATTTTATATATATGAAATTGAATATTGCGACTCGTGCAACAATCATGCTTTCAACAGTTTTTGAGATGTAAACAAATTTGATACTGTCGAAATTCTTTTGAAACGTTATATTCCAATTTCAAATGTCATCTTCGCAGTCACCAGTTGAATGCAAAGGGTTAAAAAAAGAGTGCTGGTGTATGATAGATAGTTATGAAAGCGACAATGGTGTATACTACGAATTCTAAATGCAAAACTGGTGTACGTTGCAAATTATAATCACGATAAATGTGTACGCGATGAGATGAAGGTATAATCATTTTTCTTATTATTAAATTGGCAACGATACCAGGTTGTGAATCTATATGCAAATTCTCAACTTCAAGTACAATATTATCAAAAATAAAACAAGAAAAGATATGACATAACCAAATAGCTTTCAGTTTCAAATGTTAGACCTGCGACGTCAATTAGAAGACTCTTTAACGGGAAATAAAAATAAAAATATCGTCATTATCTTTATACTTAAGTTATCAGAACTGAAAGAATGGAACTGCTCTTCATCCGAATTGATTTAAGTCTCAAATTTACGACTTATTTTAAGCCTAAATAATTGTCTTGGCAAAAAAAAAGTCTTGCGATTCTCTTGCATTTTACAGGTTCGCTTGCACCGTAAGTGCGCGAAAAAATAAATCACCAACGAGACACGTGCACTTACCGAAGTTAAAAGTTAAAAAACACTACATATCGTTAATATTTGAGTCAAACATGATATTCTAGGAAACTCGGGTCTTATTAAATTAAAAATACATGTTACAACGAAGCATGTAACGCATTGTTTATGTCGCAATATCGTTTTACTTAGCGCACGCGACAAATACGAAATAAGAATAAGAACAAGGAAAATAAAAGGAATGACAAGAAAACTGAACAAAAAGATACAAAAATAAGAGAAGAATTGGAAATTAAAAAATGACAAATATATAAAATTAATATTTCCGTTGACACAATACAAAGTTTTGTCCTATGCGAAGAGAGTTCGCTACACCCAAGAATATGGACCTGTGTAACGCGTTCCCTAACTTCTGTCGATAAGTGTATGTTTACGCAGTGCAAAACGGGATCTCCAACATTAACGAATGATCTGACAACCGTTTCCAATATCTCGTACCGCAAGCAAGAAACTCGAGAAGCAGTGGAAGCACCTACGAATCTCTTCTACGATGGCCATGTTATCATTTCCATATTCGCGGTTCGCTATCACGATTCTATTTCGAGCATCGGATAGGGCCCGAGTGCGCGAAGATTAATTTCGCGAAAAAAAAAAAGAATAAACAGCTCTGTTGCCGCGCACCGTTTATCTAAATTCGCCGGGTGGCAGGCGTATCTACGAAGGATCTCGTAGAGAGAATCGTCGGCGAAACAGCGCCGTTTCTGGGAGCAGCGTGCCGTGGTAGGAAGCGTCTGGCAATGAAACGGCTGCACGCGGCCGGAACTCTAGAATTCCACGGCTAGTCCTTCGCGGAGAGTTTTCGCGATTGACTGTGTTTAACGGGCGAGACAAGCGAGCGCGTGGGCGCGCGTATTCTCAGAGGCGACTCGAACAAGGCGAATTCCACGGTGGATTACGACGATCGCCTCGGCTCGCAGACACGGCCCCGTGAATGGTCCACGCCTCCGAAAGAAAAAGACAAATCACCCAGACGCGTATGCCGCTTTATCACGGCATAGGAAACGCCGATTCCGTCGCTAAATGCGAAATCAAATCGGAATGGAAGCGTCGACGGACAAGCCTGTTACCATCCGGGTCCCGGGCCGAGCACATTCCGGCTGGCTCGCGATGGAAAACGATTCGACGGACCTATTTCGCCTCTTTGCCTTTCGATCCCGGCACTTTATTCGTCTCGCTTCGAGTCGATGCTCCGGACAATATATATTTCTGATACTCCGGGCCGCTCGCGCGAATATTAGCTCGACCGCGAATTTGCGTTATTTCCTTCGCCGATAGGAAGCTCCTTTATCCAGGCTTGGCCTCAACTTCTAGGAAATTCAGTGGAACTCTGTTCGATCGCGTTTCTCGAAGTTTGAATTGTTTTGCCGTTTAGCGGAGATAGCGAAAATTAAATAAATTGCCGTTACGCTAAGAACAACAGGAAAGATAATAGATCTACGAGAAGAATCTTCAAAGCTATGTTTTGAAAAATTGATGAATAAAACTGAGAATTATTGGAATCATTGCACATTGTGTAGCTTTAAAAATGTCCGAGTGTTAATTATAGAATGAAACGATATATGAATTATTTAATGTAACCATTGTATTAAGTATCGAACGAAACGATGCATTAATTATTTAATGTAACCATTGTATTAATTATCGAACGAAACGATGCATTAATTATTTAATTTAACCATTGTATTACGTATCGAACGAAACGATGCATTAATTATTTAATGTAACCATTGTATTAATTATCGAACGAAACGATGCATTAATTATTTAATTTAACCATTGTATTACGTATCGAACGAAACGATGCATTAATTATTTAATGTAACCATTGTATTAATCATCGAACGAAACGATGCAATAATTATTTAACGAAATTATGTATTGATCCGTTGAACGAAACGATGCTTGGAAAGTAAGTCCGTTATGCCGAAGGTTTAAAGAAATTTGAAACTTGCACGAGCTGGAGCCTGTATTGCCGAACAAATTGGCGACAGTGCTGTCGATGACAAGTGAGCAGGACTTACCAATGTAAAAAGGAGAGGTGTCGTAGGCGTTGCAGGGGCCGGCGTGTCGCGTCTCGAGGACGAAGCCGGTAGCGCAGGCGTCCTTGACGATGTGACACCAACTGGGATAGGTGATATTGTTGGTGGCGCACAACATGGTCGCCGACGGATCTCGATCACGGTGTGTCCGGTTCCGGACCCGCTCCCGCTTCCGGGGACAGCGATAGGTGCAGGTCACGCAACGTGGTCGGCCCGACTTCATTTCCGACAGACACGTCTGCCCCTCGCGGCAACGAATCGTGGTGCAGTCTGCGTTCTCTATGCAGAAAGACGAGCATCGTCACAATCTGACCTACAATCCTATGCAAATTTGCCACGCAAACGAAATTTCGCGCAGTCGAAAAACTACCATCTGTATCTGTTTTTAGGAGAGCGACGTTGATCCTGGAAAGATTCACCATTGAGATTGAGATTATATTTGATCAAGGGGTTATTTATTAGCGTGCGGTCGGAGTTCTCTATGCGGAAAGCAACCGTCGTCGTAATTTTTAAACAAATTAATTTTCATCGAATATATTTTCATATACTGAAAATCAGGTTCGAGAACCATTAGCCTACTTGTCGTTAGGGGTGCGATATTAACCCTAGAACTATTGACCATCGAAATTGGAATTAAATTCTGTTACTGCAATTGAGTGTATGAACTATATTCTGCTAGTGCAATTTCTAAACAAATGTATTTTCAATAAATCTATTTTCATAACGTCACCCTACAAACATTAGGGTTACGGAAGTTGAAGTCTGTTCATAAGCAATAGTATTTTATTTTTGGATTCTTGCTTCTTTTCAAACTGAATGTTTCACTCGTCATTTTACTACATATGCAACGTTTGAATGCGTTCAGTAGCGCGTCTGCCTCTTAGACGCTCTACGTAGACACAGTTACGATATTGTCATTTTATTTGCAGACATTCTGCTTCTTAAACTACAGCCGGACATGTGATTATTTTATCCGTTGCCTCGGAAGTGCAAAAAGAAGAATCTATAACACATTTCTTTCTCCCGTCGTTGTAGAAATCACCAGAAAACTTTGCAATGAAACAATCGTACAAATGGCACGTGACCAGTTGAAGATTAACAGCGAGTTTTCTTCAGCTCTTTAGTGAGTAATCGATATTTGAATTTTATTTTCCAGTGAACAATGGTATTGTTGCTAGACTACGAGTCTTCATATATTTATTACAAAAAGCTAATATCATTCACATCTTTATTACTATATTATAATATTGGTATTTACTAAAATATTTCATATTTTGAAAAACTTTCCCATGAAAATGAAGATTTGCAGGAAAATCTACTTAATGTCCATAAAAGTATGAATAATTTAAATCCTACAAAAATAGAGATTTGCAGAAAAATCTAGTTATAGTGTACAAAAGTATAAATAATTTAAATCCTACAAAATTAGAGATTCGCAGAAAAATCTAGTTATCGTCTACAAAAGTATAAATAATTTAAATCCTACAAAACTAGAGATTCGCAGAAAAATCTAGTTATAGTGTACAAAAGTATAAATAATTTAAATCCTACAAAATTAGAGATTCGCAGAAAAATCTAGTTATCGTCTACAAAAGTATAAATAATTTAAATCCTACAAAACTAGAGATTCGCAGAAAAATCTAGTTATAGTGTACAAAAGTATAAATAATTTAAATCCTACAAAACTAGAGATTCGCAGAAAAATCCAGTTATCGTCTACAAAAGTATAAATAATTAAAATCCTACAAAACTAGAGATTCGCAGAAAAATCTAGTTATCGTCTATAAAAGTGTGAATAATTTACGCATCCTAGAAAAATAGAAAGCACGAAGACCCGCGTTCCAGTGATCGTTGTTAATGAGAGACTTCGCGTGAGACGAGAGGTTACAATAAATTTGAATGGGAAAGATCGCGGAAGAGACTGCGAGAAGAAAGAAGTGTCTGGACGTCTGAATTCCGTCGGTCAACCACCGCGTGATTATTTATCTCGACGTTGGACGGTCAATGCACGAATTGCGTAATGTTTCATCGGGTCGCGTACGCGTTGACGACTGGCAGAATGAAAAATGAGCAATACATTACACGATCCCCCGTGAGAAGTGGGCCATTGACCCAAGTAGGTGTAACGATATATTATTGCAGTAATCGTGTCTGCGAACGAGTCGCCGCATGGAACTACTCATTGTCAGCGGACGAGGACAGAGCGCGTCTAATTCGACGATTGAACCTGTCTCTCGTTTCTGCCTCGTCACAGCAGCCTTCTACTACTAGCCAGTCTCTTTCAATACCATTCGTTCCCATTAGACTGCGGATGCGTGTGTCGCCGAGGTCCGTCAAAATATGGAAGCGGCGTCTGGCCACCGTAGCCTTCCCGCCGCAGCATCCGCGCTGTCAAAATGAATTTTTTACAGCGTTACGTGGACGTTCCTGCGAATAACCTTGGTTTCCACATACAAATGAATTTTTTTCTCGTTTTAAGAGGACTCATCCTTCAATTCCCTGCTGGACGAGTGCTTTGGTCATTCTACATCGATTATATATCTGTACAATGAGGCCCAGTTAATGGTAACTACCGAAAAAGTTATTGTCAATAATATTTCGTTCGATGCAGAATAACCTTACTGTACTAGATGTATTGTACTGTACTAGATGTGTAGATTATTAATATTTACTATATCGTCGCGCAACTGAAGGAGGTACTCGAATGGCTACGTTTCAATTCTCTCAGAAGAAACCATAATTTGAATTTAAATAAACTGTATTTTATAAATCAAGTATCCTTGCTAAAATAATCATTCGTTTTAACAGAAACTAAATTACCTTTTCCATACAATGTATAAATGTATATTGAAACGAAGAATAGACGTTACACTTATTAAAAAAAAATGTCGGAGTTATGTAATTTTATTTAAAAAAAAATAAAATACAACAATGAAGATTATTTAGCAACTACGTTGATTGAAAACTAAGTTGAAAATCGTGCAATTCCGCTAAGCGAAAGTGAAGTACAAAAATGAATAATATTTAGCAAATACGTGAACGTTATTTAGCAACTACATCGATTAAAAACTAAGTTGAAAATCGTACAATTCCGCTGCAATTACAAAAATCAATGTTATTTAGCATCTACATCGATCGAGAATCAATTTAAAAATCATATAACACCGCCAATAAAAAGAAACGCGGAAATGAAGATTACTTACAAAGTACATTTACTATACCATAATTTGTGAACTGTATAATTCCACTAATAATTAAAATCGCCCTTGATCAGATCCACTTCGACGATCGGTAACATTGAAAAAATATGATCAAATCAAACCTAAAACTACACACAGCCACGTCTACAGAATCGAACTAAAATATTCTACGAATGAAAGTGAATTTTTGGTCGCTGAATTTTTAATCTCGCTGGCGTAGAATCTTGTTGTTGTTTTAACATTATTAAACATTCCCGAGGGCATATCTATTTGTCCGGCGCTCAAAATGGCGGCCGACGTCTGCGCTAGGGTTGTCAGCGTGCGTACAGGCCACGATCGGGGCAATCATCGTATCACTCGCGTGTGTAGTTGTTGTCTATGTTTGCCGTACTATGTGACTGTACTATATTAATATTAAGTGATTCACGCTCCGTAATGCGATCCATGTCGTTAGACGCGATGCTTAGGCCACGCACGTAACTTTTATATGGAAGCCTTGTGCCCCGATGCTTGATCTTGATGTTTGTCGCGCAGGCCAGAGCGTCACATTGCCATACATCGAGGGACATCTGCTTAGCAAGAGCAATTGAATTTATTAAGATACATTACGCAAATTGTAGTACGCCGAGCATTATACTAATGAGAATACAGCGCTATGGCTTTATTAAAAGAATAAGCATCGCAGACGTAGCTGCGCGAGATAGGGCCTCGCCGATGCTCGTCGATCCAGCATTTCTTCTTCGGCAGTGTTCGCTCCCGTTTTTCTGCATCAGCATTTTTTCGTGTTCACAGTTCATTCCGAGCAGCTTCGTTTCTTTTTTGTTCATGGCTTATTCGTACATTTAAATTGCACGTTTTTAAGAACGGTAGAGTACGTGTACACGTATCGATATTCGCGGTTTAGCAAGCAAAACAGACCTGGTGGTTGCTAGTGACAATTTTAAGCTACTTAAACCGCATTTCATAACCCTTTCTAGCAGCTTGGAAGTTCTCGTAAATGAAAAGATCAAGTTTAATCCCTGACTACGGAAATCTTAATTTGTGACAACAATACGGGCACGTTGTCTGCTACACTCTATAATATATAATGTATAATATATTGCTTACGAAACGAATACGACGTTAATCGTTGCATAGAAATTAAATGTGACATGCATTGTATATCTTTATTGCAAAATATATCATAATTACACGTAGGAAGCTTAAACTCACGAAGAAAAGAAAACGCGTTAATAAGCGATTAGTTATGGACTAATCAATTTTAATCAGAAGATAAGGTAATTGCGTGAAACGATTCGGTATGTTTTAGTTCGTTTACTTTCATCAGCCTGTAAAAATATGATTCCACGCCTCCGAACTTTCTAAAACTATGTATTTTTTGGCACAAGCGATACATCGCGCCTGCGCATTGTGCGAAGAAAGTTTTCACTTTCGCTAGATAACGGATGCAAAATACTACATATATGTGCAATTAATTAACAACTTCATCTGTCAGAGATTACCATGCTCGAAGTTCGTAGGAAAGTGTGTAAACGTATTAGGCGCCGCGAGCTTTCTAAATTTTGTGAATCCGAATCCGCGATGTTTGCGATCGATGTCGCAACGAATATCTTCAGTATTTTTATTCGTCGAATCGCCGCGATCGAAGAAAGCGAACAATGCAGCGAGGCGACAGGCATCGTGGATCGATGAAATTTCGTCTGCCGTAAAATGACGGGAATTATTTGCGCATTCACACGGTTCGCAAACACGAAGGTAATCATGCCAGTTCGTGCGTTACCGTAGCCCAATCAGTGATCACATTGTGTCAATGCTACGCTACTAGGTTGAATGACCAATGACCCTCGTACACAAGGCGTTGCATAACATTGCATTCTGTTTATTAGTCATCGCGTATCAAGTGATACGATAAATTGCAGTAATCCGTTGCCTTGGACGTTTAAGACGAATCATTCGCCAGACTCGCATTATGTAATAACGGGGACGGAGAAACAAAAAAAAAAGAAGATACAGGGAGGAAGTTCAATAAGCGTCTCTTCGGCGATTACGTTTCTTTTCGAGATAAGTGCGTTCTCGGAA